ATGGAACTCCCATTTGACCCTGTGATCCCACTTCTAGAAATATATCCCAAGAAACCAGAAACACCAATCAGAAAGGATATATGCACCCCTATGTTCATAGCAGCACAATTCACCATAGCTAAGATCTGGAAACAGCCTAAGTGCCCATCAGTAGATGAATGGATTAGAAAACTGTGGTACATCTACACAATGGAATACTATGCTGCTCTAAAAAGGAAGGAACTCTTACCATTTGCAACGTCATGGATGGAACTGGAGAGCATTATGCTAAGTGAAATAAGCCAGTCAATGAAGGAAAAATACCACATGATCTCACTCATTCATGGATAATAGAGACCATTATAAACTTTTGAACAATAATAGATACAGAGGCAGAGCTGCCTCGAACAGATTGTCAAACTGCAGCAGGAAGGCCGGGGAGGGTTGCGGGGCAGGAGGTAGGGGGGTAAGAGATCAACTAAAGGACTTGTATGCATGCATATAAGCATAACCAGTGGACATAAGACACTGGGGGATAGGGGAGGCTGGGGGACTGTCTAGGGCGGGGGGATAAAATGGACACATATGTAATACCCTTTGTAATACTTTAAGCAATAAAAAAAGAAAAAAAAAGAAAAAAAAATATATATATATACTAGAGGCCTGGTGCATGAAATTTGTGCACTTGGGGGGAGGTCCTCAGCCCGGCCTGTGCCCTCTTGCAGTCTAGGAGCCCTTGGGGGATGTCCAACTAATGTCTTAGGCCCACTCCCAGTGTGGGAGCCTGGCTTCTGGCTGAGCAGCACTCCCCCTGTGGGAGCACACTGACCACCAGGGGGCAGCTTCTGCGTTGAGCATCTGCCCCCTGGTGGTCAGTGAGCATCATAGCGACCGGTTGTTCCACTGTTCAGGTGATTTGCATATTAGCCTTTTATTATATAGGACTAGAGGGTTGGTGCACAAAAATTTGTGCACTTGGGGGGGAGGGGGGTCCCTCAGCCCGGCCTGTGCCCTCTCGCAGTCTAGGACCCCTTGGGAGATAACAACCTGCTGGCTTAGTCCTGCTCCCGGGCGGCAGAGGGCAGGCCCAATCCCTATGTGCAGCCCCTGGTCGGGCTCAGAGCAGGGCCAATTGGGGAGTTGGGGCGCCGTCCCCTGTCATGCACAGAGCAGGGCGGATTGGGAGGTTGTGATGCCACCCTCAGTCACACTCAGGGTAGGGCCGATTGGGGGGTTGGGGCACCGCCCCCTGTCACACTCAAGGCAGGGTCGATGGGGAGGTTGCAGCGCCACCCCCTGTCACACACAGAGCAGGGCCAATCAGGGGGTTGGGGCGCTGCCCCCTGTCACGCACAGAGCAGGGCCCATCAGGGGGGTTGGGGCTCCATACCCTGTCACGCACAGAGCAGGGTCAATCAGGGGATTGGGGAGCTCCCCCCTGTCACTCACAGAGTAGGGCCGATAGGGGAGTTGGGGCGCTGCCCTCTATCACCCACAGAGCAGGGCCGATCAGGGGGTTGGGGCGCCACCACTCTCACACTCAGGGCAGGGCCGATGGGGAGGTTATGACTCTACCCCGTCACACACAGAGCAGGGCCCATGGGGGGGCGGGGGGGGGGTTGAGGCGCCGCACGCTGTCACACACAGAGCCGCAGGGCAATCAGGGGGTTGGGGAGCTCCCCCCTATCAGGCACAGAGCAGGGCTGTTCAGGGGGTTGGGGTGCCTTCCCCTGTCATGAACAGAGCAGGGCGGATAGAGAGGTTGTGGCCTCGCCCCCTGTCACACACAGAGCCGCAGGGCGATCAGGGGGTTTGGGCACTGCCCCGTCACGCTGATCCCGGTGCCAGGAGGTCTCGCGGCTCCGCTGATCCCGGTGCTGGGAGGCATATTACCCTTTACTATATAGGATAGAGGCCTGGTGCATGGGTGGGGGCCGGCTGGTTTGCCCTGAAGGGTGTCCTGGATCAGGGTGGGAGTCCCCACTGGGGTGCCTGGCCAGCCTGGATGAGGGGATGATGGCTGTTTGCAGCTGGTCACACCCCCTTCAGGGTGGGGGTCCCCACTGGGGTGCCTGGCCAGTCTGGGTGAGGGGCTGAGGGCTGTTTTCAGGCTGGCGGGTGACTAAAGCTCCCAACTACTCCTTTTTTTCTTTTTCTTTTTTTATTTTGGGCCAGCTTTAGCTCTGACTCCAGCTCTGAGGCCTCTGCTGCTGAAAGCAGGTATCTCGTTTGTTTGTGTTCTATAATCGAAACACTGTATCAACTCCAGCTCTGAGATCCCTGCTCACTGAAAGCAGGTTTCTGGGGTTTTGTTTAGCTTCTATATTTGTTACAATGTTTCAAACTGCAAGCTCAGAGGCCGGCAAGGCAGGCAGGGAACGCTGGTTTCCTCCGTCACTGAAGCAAGCAAGCCTCACGTTAGTTTCAAGCTGCCTGGCTGCCGGCCACCATTTGGCTGGCAGTTAATTTGCATATCGCCCTGATTAGCCAATGGGAAGGGTAGCGGATGTATGCTAATTACCATGTTTCTCTTTTATTAGATAGGATGGTAACACCACCAAATGTGGGCTGAAATCTCTTAAGGGACAGGGGACTAGTTCTGACAGTGGCTCCCTCCAGTTTATAGAGTTTAAGCCAGAAAGGGTATTGCAGCTGCCAGGAACACATGAAGCACAGTGGGCCCTGACATCTGGGAATTGGCCAGGGACTGTCAACATGGCCTTGGTGTTGCTAGGAGCGGGCCTGGAAGTCACACCTAGGCTTTGGTATTAAACATAAACATCAATGTCCAACAATGCCACTCTGGAGCATGCACCCACCTCTACCAGAGTCCACCAGGACCCAGAAGACCACCCCCCTGAGAAAGCTGCAGGAGTCTGGATGGGGGCCTTGCGCTACATGTCATCATCAACCTTTACCTCTATCTGATCAACTCCTGTGCTGACTAGGTTGCCTCTAGGAAACTCAGACACAAAAAAAGACATTCTGTAGTGATTTCTGAATACAGAGAAACCATGAACAAAATACCAAACACTCCCTCCCCCCAGCTAATGAGTGACTATTGCTTTTTATCAATTTCCACTTTAGTCTCTTCTCCCTATAGGGAAAATTTATTAAAATGCTAAATTATATGTACACCTAAAACTAATATAACTAAGATAATATTGCATACCAACTATATTTAAAATTAAAAAATTTTATAAAAGGATTTCTTCTATTTAAAAAATAAATATTGAATTTTAAAATTACCATTTTCTGACGGCATCCACTCCAAAGCAAAGCCCTAATTCCTTAAAAACTCTCCCAACTCACTAACACAAGCCCAAATCCTGTAATATGTCTATCACCATCTTCCTGAGATGGCCCACAATTCCCTATGTTGTGTGTTCTCCCTCGTTTCAACAAGCAGATAAACTCGGCCAGTTCAACTAATGGTATGTTCTGGTGGTCTTTGGCTGGTGGGCACTGATAGTTGTCAGGACATCAGTTGCCATGATAGGCCACTATACATGCAGAAATCATAGGAGCCTGGCTGGGAAAATGATTCTAGAATATAATATCCGTGCTGGTTCTCTGAATACATTCCCTGACCAGATGATTTTCTTGTCATCTGCCTCTTTTTCCTAAAAGCTGGATGAAGGGAGAAAGTCTAGTTAATTAGATGTCCTGATGAATAATGTTACAATTAATCAAGGATGCTCTGGGCAGCTTACCTTCCCTCCCATTACCAAAAGTCACCCCAGCACAAGGTTAGAGTAGGGCTGGACGACTGACTCATGGGCAGAGCCTGAGGCAACACTACTCAAGTACTTTAAGCCACATGTTCAAGCCCAATAAATTAACCCCGGCTTAAAGAAGTCAGGCTGTACACATGTAAGAATTTTAATAAGCTTGGAAAATGCTACCTAGAGCTTATGCACAAGCTTACTGTACCAATGGGATTCCCTGCCACCAGCCACAGAGTGCTAAGCCCCTGACAAGAGCTTTTGAGCACATGGGGCAGCAGTGACAGGGAGTCAGCTTGGTCCAGGTTTCCTCAGGAGTTGGAGACTTACAGCAGAAGGCTGGCAGCCAGATGGATGGAAAGCAGAACAGGGCATTCAGCTCGGTGGAGCCAATGGCATTTACTAAGAAAACATGTCGGAACTTTCTTTAGTAGAAATCTGGTCCTCACACACCCTTCCAGAAATGAGCAAACACTGTAATCAATATCTGCATTTATCCAATGCCTGTTTGTACACAGAACTGTGTTAGGTACAAAAGAGAGTTGTTTAAGCAAACGTGGTCTCTGCCTTCTAGATGCTGACATCTAATATAAATAAAAACAATAAATCTATCCAGAGGATTACCAAACTAACTGAACAAACATGAAACAGTCCAAAGTAATGACTGTATATAGTAAATGCAATGGAGTAAGAACTGAAGTAAGTCATGGGAGATGACTCTCTAAACAGGGTGGCACCCTGATGGGACAGGTACCTGTAAGGCTGAGCCTCCACCTGGCGATCAGCTTTTAAGAAACGCTTCAAGGGCTGCCTACTGGGCTTGGGGGAAAGGAGCCAATCAGAGAAGAGGGTGCAGCTTGGGAGATGATTCAGACAGAAATACAACCAGAGGGAGAAAGAAAACTGGACAATCAAGAAAATTAGGAGGAATCAATCAAGCTGGTGTGTGTTTCTCAACTGCTGTTACTAATGTCCCCTTCGGATAAACATTTTAAAAAACTCACATTCTTTTATCATGTTATTTAAAATTTGAAAGGAAACTAAACCTCCTATTTAACACCAAATCAAAGCAATAGTGGTTTCAGAATTTGATTTTCCAAATGACACTAACCACCCTCTTTAACCTAGAGTTAAATATGAATCATCCAATCAGTTGGGTGGTATCAGTGAATTCTTAAAGAAGAGGATTTGGATCCTGGATCCACTTGGGATCAGACAACTAGTAGTATTAGAAGAAGTAACAGCCTAAGGTGACAAAAACAGACCAGGGTACTAGCAAGAAAATGTAGTAATTACCTGATTAAAATTTTTGAAGGAGAACTCTTTGTAGATGGCATTTCTCTCTCTTAATTCTGACCATCCTGCTGCTTTAAGGTCGAGTATAACTTGGTTCCTCTCCTCTGTTGTCAACAAGTGAGCATCTGCTGACTATGAAAAAAGCACATTTAATATCTGTAATGTAGAGGTTTAGTTAAACTCAAACTTAAAACTCTTTTCCTTATATGTAGAAAAAAGTCTTAAGGACAATAATTTCTAACCACCTTTGGTTCCTTTGTTCTCAAAATACAAAGTTCTCAAATATAGACAAAACTAAAGCTAGCTCTGTACAACATAAGCTGCTTCCATGGTATGATAGATATATCATTACCCCTTACCACTGTCTGAAACGTCACAATTCAGCTTCTCTGGTTTATTACAGATACAGTTGAGACTGACCATTACCACCGTCCATCTTACTAATGACCATTAATAATGGCCAGCATTCCAGAACTTAGGAAACTGAGTTCAGCATACTCACCCAAGGAAACCCTGCAAGTATACTGGCAGGACCAGAATTAGAACTCAGCTATAAACTCTGGTCTAGTGCTCTTGGGATGGTCCCACACCACCTTAGTAGCCTTCACTGGTTATTGACATGGGACTTAACTGTCTTGGTTCACTATTCCCTTTCAGATATGATAAAAACTAATCCCCTGGGGGCGGGGGGCGGGGGGGAGGACAAATGCACATTTACATAGGATTTTTTTAAAAATCTTTATTGTTCAGATTACAGTTGTTCCTCTTTTTTCCCCCCATAACTCCCCTCCACCCGGTGTTACATAGGATTTTGATAATAACTTCTGAGACCCACAGACCCTCTGGACTACAGGTAAAAAGCCTTTTGCCCTAGTGAAGTGAGTTTTCTCAGAGGACCAGAAAGACAAACTCCCTCCACAGTCTGGCCAGAGCATTGCCCAGTCCAAAGCACTTGTGTGCATTGTCCACCTTGTTCCTACTCACCCTAGTGATGAAATTCACAGCCCAAGAGTTCTGTTGGTTAACAGGCCCACACTTTCCATACTATTTGGTGTGTGTGTTTTAAATATACTTTTGTTGATTTCAGAGAGAAAAGGAGAGGGAGAGAGATAGAAACATCAATGATGAGAGAGAATCATTGATCGGTTGCCTCCTACATGTCCCACACTGGGGATCAAACCTACAACCCGGGCATATGCCCCGACGGGGAATCGAACTGTGACCTCTTGGTCGACACTCAACCACTGAGCCAAGCCGGCTGGGCTCCATACTATTTGTTTTTTAACTGAAAGAACTGTAATGGAAGCATCATGGCCAGAGAGAGGAGAGAAGGGCACTCTACTAGAAGTCAGAAGAGTTTCATTCTCATTCTGGCATACATGCCAATCAAAAACTCTTGCCTTACCTATTTGTAGGGTTACTGTAGGCTTCAGTGAGAGAGGGACTGTCATCCAGAAAGAGTGAGCTAATGTGAGAGTTCTCATCAAAGGGCAATTGCGGCTGAGCTGGATTCTCCACTATGAAACTGCAACTCATTCCCACTTCAAAAATCCTAAAACCTTTTATTACTGACATTAATGTAAGAGAGCAAAGCCAGTAAACTCATTTAAGACAACTTATTCTAGAGCAGCGGTTCTCAACCTGTGGGTCGGGACCCCTTTGGCGGTCGAACGACCCTTTCACAGGGGTCGCCTAAGACCATCCTGCATATCAGATATTTACATTACGATTCATAACAGTAGCAACATGACAGTTATGAAGTAGCCACGAAAATAATTTTATGGTTGGGTCACAACATGGGGAACTGTATTTAAAGGGCCAGAAGGTTGAGAACCGCTGCTCGAGAGGTTTGGGTCAAGATGGCGGAGTAGTGAACACTGTGCTCTCCTCTTCCCATGACCACATCAAAATTACAAATTACAGAACAACCAACCTAGAGAACTATGTGAAGACTAGCTGAACGTATGTCCTATAACTAAGGACATTAAAAAGCCACTACGCAACCAGTAGGAGGCGGAGACATGAAAGGGGCTGACCCCGTGGCCAAGTGTGGCAGGTGAGAATTGGGAGGGATTTCACAGCGAGCGGTTCCCCCTGAGGAGCCAGGGGCCCCAGCCCCTCCCTGGCCTCCCCACCCTGGCTCCTCTGCCAGAAAGAGGAACCCCACAACACATGGCTGTGAAAATCAGTGGGGATTCCACCCATCTGGGCGAGGTGGAAGGCCAGGCATCCTCTGAAAGGGCGATGCTCAGACTCAGTCTCTTGCAGGCACTCACTCTGCGCTCGGACGGATGGACAGTGGCTCCGAAGCACCAGAGACAGGAAGAAACTGAGTGGTGTGGCTTCAGGGCTAGGGCTGAGGGGACAGTGGCCACTGTCCCTGGGCGGAGCCTACAATGGGGATATTACAATACCAACCTGATGAGATTTTTCAAAGGCTTCAACTAAAGAGGTTTTTAATCTGAAGGCACCCAGCCTGGCACATGGCAGTCACTCAAACCATTCCTCCCAGATCACCCTACTTTGACTTCATCGCCAGGACCTGGATCACTTATGCCTGGAGACAGGCCTCGGCGGCAGTCAGCACTCAGCCTGTGTGCTCACCTTAAGGTCAGGAAGCAAGGCGCCTAGCTTCCTCCATCCCCGAGGTATTTTTAATTTCTTCTATCAAAATACTGCAAACTGCCCTGGCCGGTGTGGCTCAGCTGGCTGGGTGTGGCGGAGTGCCGGGTCAGCTACCCTTACCCACAACAAGAGAGAAAGGGCTGCCAGTGTGATTCCTGGTCAGGGCACATGCCTGGGGCTGGGGCTCCGTCGCGGCGGAGGGCGTGAGGAAGGCAGCCAATGGATGTTCTGCTCCCACGTCGATGTTTCTCTCTCTTTCTCTCTCTCTCTCTCTCTCTCTCTCTCTGAATAAAAAAAAAAATTTTTTTTAACTACAAACGGCCAGCCAAAACCGGTTTGGCTCAGTGGATAGAGCGTCGGCCTGCGGACTGAAAGGTCCCGGGTTCGATTCCGGCCAAGGGCATGTACCTGGGTTGCGGGCACATCCCCAGTGGGAGATGTGCAGGAGGCAGCTGATCGATGTTTCTCTCATCATCCATGTCTCTAACTCTCTATCTCCCTTCCTCTCTGTAAAAAATCAATAAAATATATTTTAAAAAATAAAAATAAATAAAAATTAAAAATAAATAAATAAATTGCAAACGGCCAAATGGGCTCTAATATAAGCAACTTGAAATGAGTTTAAATGCAACATTTTCCCCACTAGGTGGTGCTGCACGTTAAAGCTTTCTCTCAAGTTCATTTATCTCCAATATAGCCATTTCTAAAGCAGGAAAACTGACGGACGCCACTCATAAGAAGAAGAAAGAATCGTTGTGTCACCAAAAAGATAATTTATTAATAATTCCTCACAAAGAATAACACCAAAACAAACCCGTTCATTCAACATTCGGGCCCCCCGTGTAGAGCGAGCGCGCCCTGCGGGAGACGGTGCCTGCTCCTCGGAGCGCGCAGCCTCGAGGACCGAGCAGCACTGCCGGTCACCGCAGCGGCCTAACCGCCAGACACCGTCCGGCCGCCCTGACGGTTCTGAAAGGACAGAGGTTCCCGGCATTCCGCGGGCTGCACGGGGTTTCGAGGCCGAGGGGAAACGGAGGTGCCGCGACCACGCAGCGCGGCCACCCAAGCCCGAGCCCCGAAGCCGGGCCCACCTCGGGCCTGCGCGGTCCCCCCCGCCCCTCCGCCCGCGCCACGGAGCCGCGCCCCCTCCCGCACCGCGCGCCCTCCGCACCCACTCACCATGGCCGCGAGGCCGGGGCTCCAACCCCGCAGCGCCGCCCAGCGCCGCGTCGCCCCCCGCGTCCCCAGAGCCGCCGCCGCCATGGCCGCCGGCCGAGAGCTGCCCGGCGCACTGCCTGCCCGCCGTCCCCCGCCCCGGCGCCCCGCACACCGGCCCCGCCGGGCAGGCCCCGGCGCGGCCCGCCCCGGAAGGCCCCCGACAGCTGCGACCCACTCCGCAGGCCCCGCGGGCGCGCTCGGCACTCCTTCCGCAGCGCCGCGGCCCGCCTCCGGGCTGCCTCCTCTGTGCGGGCGCTGGGCTGCCCTCGGCGCTCAGGTTTCACCTCGGGTTCGGCTCCCCGGGCCGGCACGGTCGCCGCACACTCGCGGCCGCTCTGACGGAGCTGGGCTCCACCTGGGCGAACAGTGCGCCGGCGGGAGGGTGTCTGGGCCGGAGGAGAGGAGCTGCGGGCGGGGGTGGGGGGAGAGCCGTGGTGATTGCGGTCCGCGACTGGCAGGTCGGCGCCCCGGAGGTCCGGATCTGCCGGTGCTTCCGCAGCCGCCGAGACGGGCTCCTCTGTTTGCCTAACAATCTGGAAACCTGCTCAGTGTTGTCTAAAGAGCAACGCCCGCGCGGCACGCAGTAGGCGCCTCAACACATGCTGACGATTTAGACAAATTTTCTGTATCGTTTTCAAGAGGGGCATTTTTACATGTGTGTGTATTCATTAATATTTTATTCTCATTATTTTTTGCCTTTTATCTTTCTGAGAGGTCATTCATATATAACGTAAAATTCACCCTTAAAATGTGTAGTCCAGCGATTCTTAGTATAGTCCCTTGTATCTTTTTTAACTAGCTTAGGCAAATTAATCATATGCAGAGGATATAACAGAATACTCAAGAAATTTTTTTAAAGGGTGAGTCCATTTAAGTTCAGCTTAGCAGTTACTAGCGTTAGTTTGTGGGGTTTATTTAATACATTTTTATTGATTTTTACAGAGGGAGAGAGAGATAGAAACATCAATGATGAGAGACAATCATTGATCAGTTGCCTCCTGCACCGCCTGCAGGCCCCCCCACTGGGGATTGAGCCCGAAACCTGGGCATATGCCTTTGACTGGAATTGAACCTGGGACCTTCAGTCTGCAGGCAGACGCTCTATCCTCTGAGCCAAAGGGCCTGTCATTACTTTCTTTTTTTTTTCTTTTGCAAAATGGGGATGTTTTTATTTTATTTTTTCACATTCAATATTATTCTGTATTAGTTTCAGGTGTACAACATAGTGGTTAGACAATCATATATACTTTACAGAATAGTCCCCCCTGATGATTTCAAGTACCGCCCTTGGCCCATACATAGCTATTATAATATTATTTTTCCCCCATTGACCTCTCCTCTGCCACTCCCCCCCCCCCGCCCCAGCATATATCCTCACCCCCTAGTGTCTGTGTCCATTGGTAATGCTTATAAGCATGCATACAAGTCCTTTGGTTCTTCCCATACCCGCCACCCCACCCCCCCACCCCACCCCCACCCACTCCCCCCAACCCCCACCCCCCGCCTTCCCTCTGAGATTTGACAGTTCATGCTTCTCTGTCTCTGGATCTATTTTTGTTCATCAGTTTATGTTGTTCACTATGTTCCATAAATGAGTGAGATCATGTGGTATTTATCTTTCTCCGACTGCCTTATTTTAGTGTTAGTTTTTATTTCCCCTATGGACTTGGAAAACTAAAGCTTTTTTGGCCTCAAAATAGCCTGAAACTTATGGCCCAAACCACCTTCTTCACTTTTGCCCACTTCATGAAAACTCAGGGAGAATCTCACTGGAGGCCCTAATCAAATGCTACTGGTCTCAAGGCATTTATCTAAGACATTCTAGTTTCTCTGCCTCGGGTGGATAGAGACTAGGGGTGGAATTAAATGTTGTATTTGCAATATTTACCTTGAGTGTTTACATCATGAAAAATGCTGTACAAACTTGCTCATTAAAGAATTGAAAAATGAGGTGTGCTCTCTTCCAGGCGCATGCCCACACCTTTCCCCTTTTCTTCCTCCACTGGCAAGCTTCTCCTAAACTCTAAGGGACGTGCAACCACAAGACTTGCAACCAGGGGAGCAATGGGCAGCAGCAGCTGTCCCAGGCCAACCCCCTGAATCTGTCCCCATGGCCCCTTTTCTCGAACTCTCCAGTGAGCTGACACAAGTCCCCAACTTGGCTCACTTCTTTACTTTTTAGAGCCAAAGCAGCCCCACCTAGTCTCTCTCCTGTTGCTTCTATCTTAGGCCTTTCCTTGTTTCACTGTCCCTAGCTTTAATAAATGTACTCTCAAAAGAAAGGGGGAGCCCTGACTGGTTTGGCTCAGTGGATAGAGCGTCGGCCTGCGGACTGAAGGGTCCCAGGTTCGATTCCGGTCAAGGGCATGTACCTTGGTTTGTGGGCGCATCCCCAGTGGGGGGTGTGCAGGAGGCAGCTGATCCATGTTTTTCTCTCATGGATGTTTCTAACTCTCTGTCCCTCTCCCTCTCTGTAAAAAATCAATAAAATATATCTTTTAAAAAAAGGGAAATGAACTGGTAAGTGTGAACAAGTTAGAGCCTATGATGTTGTGAATTATATTGGGTCTTCCCTAAGTGCTGAGCATGATAAAGGTGTCTTTTGTTAAAATGTTAATGAGTGCATGTTTGGAAAGCTCCGAAGGATGAGGGCTGGTGGCCTATGGAGCCAACCTTGTGTTTAGAACTTTTAGTCCTGGCCTCTGGGGAGGTGAGCCACCTTGTGGGGGCTCCAGGCTCCATGAGGACAGAAGCGCCTTTGTTCAGGACTACCCCAGGTTATCTCTTCATTTAGCTTCATCTCTCACATGTTTTAATATCATTTTTAATGAACTGGTCTGGTGAGTAAACGGGTTTTTCCTGAGTTCTGTAATCCCTTCCAGCAAATTAATCGAACCCAAGGAGTGGGTTGTGGGAACCTCTGATTTATAGCCAATCCATTAGAAGTACAACCCCTGCTTACAGCTGGCTTCTGTAGGGTGAAGGGTAGAGACAGTCTGGGACTGAACCCTTAACCTATGGAACCTGACACTATATCTGGGTTGAATGTCAGAATGGAGTTGAATTCTTGGACACCCTGCTAGTGTCCAAGAATTGTTTGTTGGTGAGGGGAACCCTACCACCGCTACATTGGAAATTGGGTCCTGGAACCCCCTTAAAGTCCCCTCATCATTTTCAGTAAGTTTATTTTCACCATTTTCCGTGGCTAACACCACTGTGACTGGGCATTTCAGTTCTAGTCATGAAAGCAGCAGCAGCAGCAGCAGGTTACTAGTAAGGCCCAGGAGAATTGATGTCCACCTGTAGGGGCTGTAAGTGCTCTTTTCTCACATGTAGCTCTCCGGATTTAAGTCCCTTAGTAAAGATTTACTGGGCAGATCCCCTGTAGCAGACATGTTGAGAAAGGCAGCCTCCTCCTGTCTTTCAACCCCTGCTAGGCTACATAAGGATGGGCTTGGGCCTGCAACACTTCCTTACCAATAAAGACCCTGCACAGTCTGTGCCGGGCTTACCACCTTGTGTAGGAATAGCCTTCCATTTCAGACTCAATGTGTACTCCTTTATTCTGCTTAAGCATGTATGTCAATAGCCTGAGACGTACCCCGGCTTTCAGTATTTCAGACTCCAAGGGAGAGGGGTCCTGTTGGGGCACTTACAGGGTAGGCAGTTGGCTACTGGAAGCACCAGCTAGCCATGAGGGACTGGCACTATTGGAGCTGGTCTTGCTCTGCCTCTTTTTATATAAAAACTAGAGGCCCGATGCATGAAATTTGTGCAAGAGTAGGCCTTCCTTTCCCCAGCTGCCGGCACCGGCTTCCCTAAAGTCATCCAGTCTAATTAGCATATTATGCTTTTATTATTATAGATTTTGTTCCCTCCTGTGCTTCCCCTTAATACCAGTGCTCCCTGGCTAATACTCTATTCCTTTTAACTCTACTCTTGAACCTCCCCTCCAAGGAACAGCCTGTTCCACATTTTCCTCCAGGGGAACCCCATGTAGCTTGTCTCAACTAAGTGATAGAAGCAAAGCCAGGGATCTACTGGTCATCCTGGGAGTCTTTCACAGCCCCAGACTAGGTAGAGCAGGGCCTCATTACATATCAAAAACATGAAAATTCCTGTATCTTTAGTAGAATTCCACTCTGGGAATCTGAGGAAATGAGACCATATACAATCATAAATCCAGCAACAGGTTGGGAAACCACCTTCAGATCTACTGAAAGGCCTACTATAGAGCCATGGTTAGGAAAACTATTAGCAACAGTGAAATACTTACCATTTGTTAAGGGGGGAAAAGAACCCACAAAGTACTAAATTTTAGCTATATTATGACTAGCTGTGGGAAATACATAACAGGAAGACAAGAGGGAATACATACCATGATCACTTAGGCCATGGCACAGAGGTGGGGCAGGGTACCATCCCACATATGATTAAGTCTGAAGCTGCATCCCACATATAATTAAGTCTGTAGCTGGGAGCTACATGACCAAGAGCCAAGTTACTTGGGGCCTCATTTTCTCTTCTGTAAAATGAGGATACTAAATAGTAGTGCCAATCTCATAAGGCTATTGTACAGATAAATGAAACTATATGTAAAACAGTACCTGGCACACACACAGTAACATTCAAGTGTTGGTTATTACGAGAAATGGAATTACTAGAGGTTTATCCCCTATATTTTAAGTGTAGAAAAATACATATGAAAGTTCAAATCCCAGCTTCATCACCTTACTATTTGTGTAACCTGGATGAGTTGTTAAACCTCGCTGTGTCTGGGTTTGCTCATTTGTAAAGTGGAAATAATAATGGTACTGTTCTGAGCCACAGTTCCCTCCTGCCAGTGACTAACCCAGCCATAGATGTCCACAACATGACATACAAGTTTTAAAATATCCTATATAATGCTGAGAAGATTCATCTAAAAGGTTCTATTTCCATAAAATTTAGGGTGCCTTATGAAATGAACTCTCTAAAACACAAATAATCACCAGGCCAGTGTAGCTAGGTGGTTGATCATCAACCTATGAACCAGAAGGTCAGGGTTCAATTCCCAGTCAGGGCACATGCCCGGGTTGCTGGCTCGATCCCCAGTGTGGGGTGTGCAGGAGGC